GAGTTACAATATCAGAATTTCCAAAGTCAAATTGGATACGAAGACAAAGTTCAGGTTAAGTCGGATTCAGGTTAAGGGTTGAGGCAAATCGGAGTCGCAGTATGAGTGCGGGATGGAGAATATGTTTTAAAATTTTTCGTTAAATTTTCAACGGATGTCGGTTGAAAATTCCGTTGAAAATATCAACGGATAATTCCGTTGAAATTTCGTTGATACTTTTAACGATTTTCAATGAATAATTTTTTTCAACGATGTTGCAACGTAAATTATCCGTTGAAATTGTATAATTTCAACGAATTTTAGGCCATTTTCAACGGATTTTTCCGTTGAAAATGGCATTTTTTTTGTAGTGGGATATTGCCTATCATCTCGGCAAAGCTAATGTAGTTGCAGACGCCTTGAGTAGAAAGAAGGTTGCGTTATCTGCTCTGAGATTGGTAAGTGATCTAACGACTCAATTGAGTTTAATGCAGATATCGGCTCTGGAAAACCGAGATGGGTTGGAAACTAGTGCTATAAAATGGGATCGCTGGCTGGACCCAGTGACGATGGCACAAGAAAAAGATGAAAAGACGAAAGAGTTAATGAAAAAGCCGGAAGATTTTACAAAGGCAGGTTATTCTACTTCAAATGATGGGTTGATACTATTGAGAGGTCGTGCTTATGTGCCTAAAGGTGAAGAGTTGAGGAAGAAATTATTGAAAGAGGCATATAATACACGATATTCTATACATCCGGGTACTACAAAGATGTATCAGAACTTGAAATAGTGCTTTCTTTGGCATGGCATGAAAAAGGATATTGCAAAGTTTGTTACTCATTGTCTAACATATCAGCTAGTTAAAGCCGAGCACTAAGTACCTGCAGAAAAACTACAGTTGCTATCGATATCTCAGTGGAAATGGAACTTGGTGACGATGGATTTTGTAGTTGGTTTACCAAGGACGCCAAGGAAAATGATGCCATATGGGTTATTGTGGACCGTTTAACTAAGTCTGCACATTTTATCGCGATTAAAAAGATATTCTCAATGCCTCGTTTAGTACAGATCTACATAGAAGAGGTGGTAAGACTTCATGGAATCCCTACTAGTTGATAACATGTATATATTAATATATTTTTGTATATAATTTTTATTTTATTTCACGAGATTTATATGTGTATAGGTACTATTCGGTACAATTTTACACCGATTTCGATGTTTTCGATATTTTGTAGGAAGAATGGAGATTCAAATATAAACGTTGCATCCTCAAGGAAATCGGATGAAAACGAGTAAATACGGAAGCAAATATATTCATGTGTATACGTGTGTATAATCTATATATATATTATCCGTTGAATATATATAGTATATATATTATACAAATATATATAAATATACGTATATGTATATATGCATGCGGTATATTTATCTATGCATATAATTAATGTGTGTGTTTATATATGTAAACTTTTTTTTGTTAACTGTAATTTCAATAAAATAAAAATGTTTTACAAACTGAAGGTCGTGGATTGTTTACCAGGCAAAAGACTAACAGAAGACAAAATAGCAAACATACATGAATAGTTTATCAAACTAACAGAGAGCTTCATAGGTGTTCAAAATGGCGGAACCAAATAGAGAGTAGTGTGTCGTTTCGGTCATTGCGTCTCCAGTCTTTAGGAATTGTGGATAGTCTTCTTCGGGTTGAGGAGAGGATTTCTCTAACTATGAGCCTCGTTGGCCTAGATTTGCGGTCATGGAATCTGGTGTTCCTCTCGCGCCATATATGGTAAACTGTAGCTTGAAATAGAAGGAGAACCATTAGCTTCAAACTACAGTTTGACGAGCAAGTCTCCAACCAATGCAGGACCTCCAAAAAGGTGTTTACAGAGTGGAATGCAACGGGAGTACCATGCAGGAGTCCCCGCCAACATTCGTTGTTGTAATCACAGGTGTAGAAGAGATGATCGATGGATTCCTGAGCCGAATCACATAACAGACAGTTCGTCAAATCGAGATTTCCCCAAACAGCCAGACGGTCTCTAGTAGGCAGTCTATTGCGTGCCGCTAGCCAACATATGAATGAGTGTTTGGGGATGGAATGAGTAAACCAAATTACCTTGCTCCATGGAACTGTTGGAAGGTGAGGATGTAGTAACTTCCACGCTCGTTGAGTGGAGAACGGTCTTTGGCCTATCTCCAAATGCTTCTTGGACCAATAGAAGACATCCGGGCCAGCAGTAGTAAGCGGGACTCCCATTTCTAGGAGTGATAGTTACAGTGCTTCAGCTGCGTTACTCCTTGCTGGTGGAATTTGCCATCCCTCTTGGGTGAATATGCTGCAAACACAAGTGTCCCTCGGAATCCCCAAGTGTCTTGGGCCACCCTCTCCAAAGTATTTAATGAGAGGGCCTTGAGGTAGCCACGAATCCTGCCAGAAACTGCAATTTTCACCATTGCCAAGACGACATCGGAGGAAGGGACGAGCTGTTTCTCTCTGTTTCAGCAACTTGCGCCAGGCCCAACTTCCTTTGCTTCTCGGGTGTAACTCCCAAAATGACTTCTCCGCCGTTAAATGTCTTCGGGCCCATGCTACCCAAAGTGAGCCACTCTTTCTGAGGAACAACCAGAAGAGTCGGATACAGAGGATTGCATTCCATTCAGACAAGCTTTTGAGGCCTAGCCCACCCGAAGACTTAGGCGTACACACTGAGTTCCAGGATACCTTCGCCCCCTTAGCAGATCCTGGTGCCCAGGTCCAAAGGAAAGCAGAGCACATTTTCTCAATGTCCTTGGTACAGTGACGGGGAAGGATGAAGATCGATGCCCAAAACGTGATGATACTGTATATTACAGACTTAAGCAATTGTAGTCTCCAAGCAAAGGATAAGTGTCTAGAGGTCCAAGAGAAAAGCTTCCCTCGGATTGAATCTTTTAGTCTGTCGCCGTCCCGCCCCGTAATACGCTTTCCTGAGAGAGGAAGGCCCAGGTAGCGCACCGGAAGTTTCGAGTGAGTGATGCCCAGATCATCAGCAAGAGCTTTGGCCGTATCTTCCTGATTACCAACGACGAATAAAGCTGTCTTGGCTTTGTTGAGCTGAAGACCCGAAATTTTGTAAAAGTTACCGAGTGTATCAAGGATAGCGGTGAGTGAGCTTCTTGAGCAGTCCGAGAATACTAGGATATCGTCTGCAAACATGAGGCTGGATACTTGAGGGTTCCGACATTTAGACGGTAAGACAATGCTGCCTATTTCAACACTCTTGCTCAGCATTCTTGAAAGGATGTCCATGGCCAAAACAAACAGGTAGGGGGAGATAGGATCACCTTGTCGAAGTCCTCTCTTCCCTTTAAAGTAATCCACAGTCTCCCCATTGAAGGAGATGGAGAAAGAGGTGGAAGAAATGCATTGATAGATCCACCTGATGAATCATGAGGGAAACCACAAGGCTTGGAAAATCCTAGTGATAAATGGCCAACTGACTACTATGTCAAAAGCTTTAGTGAGATCAATTTTGAGTAGAGCTTGTCTTGGAGTACCTCCGCGATCATAACCTGATACAAGTTCCATGGCAAGAAGGACATTTTCTGTGATTGACCTACCCGGGATAAACGCTGTCTGGTTCGGGCTTATGAGCATCGGTAGGACGCTCCTTAATCTGTTGGCAAGAATCCGAGAGATAATCTTGTAAAGTGTGTTGCAACATGATATCGGCCTAAAGTCCTTGAGTTGCATCGCATTCCACGTTTTCGGAACAAGCGTGATTAGAGTGCAGTTCCATTATTCAGGGAGATGCTCAGTGGAGAAAAATTCGGTAACTGCAGATATCACGTCAGAGCCGACAGTTTCCCAACAGATAGTGAAGAATTCCGCTGGGTAACCGTTGGGTCCCGGTGCCTTCCCTCTAGGCATTGAAAAGACAGTCCCCTTGATTTCTACAGCATCTGGTATCGCAGTCAGCATAGACCAGTACTCTGCAGGGCAGGCTGAGGGCAGAAGAGATCAGATACGTTCAACCGGCCAACACTCTAGTTGCGGATCCTCCTCTCCCAATATATTTTGGAAATAAGCCACTGTCATAAGTTTCAAATGATCATCATTGTAGATACGCTCACCTGCATCAGTCACAAGTAAATGAACTGCGTTAGCGGAGTGCCTCACAGCCATAATCCGGTGAAAGAAGCGCGTGTTCTGGTCTCCTTCAGAGAGCCAACGTATGCGGGACTTTTGCTTAAGGAATGTTTCCTCAGCGTTGGATAATTCATACCACTTTGTCCTCAGTCGGTTCTCGAGTTGGGCAGTCTCCAATGATGGGTTCTCCAACATTAGCTTATGCACTTCTTTGAGGGCCCCCAAGGCATGGGCTGAGCGTTCTTGTATGCCGCTATACGCAGTCCGATTCAGCTGCCGGAGAGGCACTTTTAGCCTCTTGAGCTTGACCACCAGACTTAGCATACTTGATCCGGCTGCTATAGGGAGGATCCATGAGGAGTTGACTAGTTGATGAAAGGGATTCATGCTTTGTGAGGTGAAGCATGAATCGAAAGCTAGTCCGCCTCTGTCTCCTTGGAAGACAGTTTAGATGAACTATGCATGGCGAGTGGTCTGAGGGTACAGGCGGCTCAAACAAGGAAAAGGACATCGGGAGAGAGAGAAGTCAGGGGTCATTTATGAGTGCACGATCTAGTTTACGGGCAATAGGGTTGTCTTGACTGCAATTGGTCCAAGTGTAGTAAGCACATCGAGCAGATAGGTCAAACAGGCCCGCTCCCAACAAGCATTCCTGAAATTATGTCATACCTGCAGTAGGGTGGAAAGGGGAGGTCGGGGAAGCGCGCTCGGAGGGCCCTAGGACTTGGTTAAAGTCACCAAGAAGTAACCAAGGCCTCAAAGGGAGCAGGGGATGATTGGATAGGTCCGAGATTTCTTGCTATAGTCTTTGCCTGCCAGCTGAAGTGTTCAGAGTATAAACGAAAGAGGCAGTAAAGTACAGGTTTGATGCCGGTATGAAGACACCACATGTGATCATTTGTTCTGTCACCGTATAGATATTGACCGATATCGCCGGATCCCAGAAGACCCAGATACGCCCAAACTCTGCGTGATCGTAGTTGTGGGCCAGGTTCCATGATGGAGCGAGTGAATTTATGATACGGATGGCTATATTCACATCCCTCACCCTTGTTTCAATGAAGAATGGAGATTCAAATATAAACGTTGCATTCTCAAGGAAATCAGATAAAAATGAGTAAATACGGAAACAAATATATTCGTGTGTATACGTGTGTATAATCTATATATATATTATCCGTTGAATATATATAGTATATATATTATACAAATATATATAAATATACGTATATGTATATATGCATGCGGTATATTTATCTATGCATATAATTAATGTGTGTGTTTATATATGTAAACTTTAATATAGATATATATATATAATATAGATATATGTGCGTGTACATGCATATAAATATGTATATATATGATATAGTATGAATGTATATTAATAGATATGCTTACACGTGTTATATACATATATAAAATACTATTCATATATACACATATAATAACGAGCGAGTGTGCATATTAATATATGTAAATATATAACATATTTATAATATATATCTTACTATATATTATACTATTTATATGCTTGTATATATAAATAGTTATATGTCTGTATAACGTGTATATATATATGTAAGTATATGAATAAGTAATTAAATAATAATAGATGAGAAGGAGTGCGGGCAATCATAGGAAAAAGACAA